CTAGGAGATCTTTGATCGATACCGGATTCAAGGGTGAGTCAGTTCTTTCAGGCTGCCATGGATCCATCACTAGTTTAGTCCATTCTTTTCGGACTCAGACTATATGTTAGACTTGTTTATGTGTAGTTTTCGGGGTTGCACCCCCTTTTCTTAGACTTGTTGGTTAATAGAGTTTTTGGTACAATGACTTTCAGTTCTAGGGTTTGAATTTCTGCGATAGTTGTTTGTTAGACCTTCGGAGTTTATGGGAACTCCGTATTTATTTAGTCATTTAAACCTGCTTCCGTATCTTTATATGTTTTAGTCTCTTAAAAATTGCTTAGACGGGTTGTAGTAATGGTTCTCCCACCAAAGGGTTAGTGTGGGTATCAATCACGGCGATCTGGATCGTAACATACTAATAACATACTAAGAATCTGTCAAACTGGAATCAGGCTATGCAAGCGAGTGCCAATAGGGGAACGTTGCTTGACTGGAATCAGGCGACACTTGCTAGTGATGCAGGTGTTGTCACAACTTAACAATGGGTATCCATCACATATGGTTTTTGATCCTCAGTACCCTAGTTTTTTTTATATATAATGTTATATATATTGAGTTTATAATCTTGCATTTTAAATTTTTTAATATTGCTATAAAAAGACTATCAAAAGTTTGTACATTATTATATACTAATATATAATATCGTGTACCAATTTTTTTAATCACTACTACAAAAAATAAAAAATATATTGGCTATGCGATTAAAAACTTAAAAACTTGACTATCTAATCAGAAATATGCTACTCCCTTTGTCTTTGTTTATGACTCGCTTTTCTTTATAATCAGTTTAAAAAGAATGATATATTTCTAAATTAAGTAATAATTTAATTTTAAAATGTCTTTTGTTGTCACACTAATATCTATCACTCATTTTAAAACACAGTGTCAAAAATCTTTCTTTTTTCTTAAAATCCGTATCAAGTTAAACTAACTCATATAAACTAAGACGGAGAAGGATATTGTTTTGGTGTAAGGTAAGCGTTTATGTCTTTTCTAGGCTACGTTTGCACTTGCGCCTAGAAAGGAGTGCGTCATGTTTTAGAAACCTCATAGAAATTACCTGAAAAATACTATTCCCACTCACATTACTTTTTTATTACTTAAACGCGGCGAGTCAACAAATTCTACTTTGAAAACGACTCATTAATTTTAGATATGTGACAAACTTAATCAACAAGAAAAAGGAAACAACAAAACTTGAATGACACGTACTAATATTAAATTCCTCATACAACTTTTGCCTATATATATGTGAAATGAAACAAACACCAACAAAAGTATTATTTCCTACTTCTAAATTCTCTCATTTCTTCCAAAGTTTCAAAAACCTACTACTATATATACAAAAAAAAAATCCTTATATTTTGATTCTTGATTCCATATAAACATGACAACCATGAAAAGAAGCAGAGAAGATAATGGACAAGTGGAAGCAGAAGCCATGGCTAATTGCGCCTTAATGCTTTTGTCGCGTTTAAACAATAACAACAACAATAACAATGATTTTGCATGCAAGACTTGTAATAAACGATTTCCATCTTTCCAAGCCCTTGGTGGACATCGTACAAGTCATAATAAAAAGCCAAAATTACTCGGAGAATTTCTTGTTCAAACCAACAAAAAGAATAAGATGCATAAATGCTCTATATGTGGTACGGAGTTTTCATTGGGTCAAGCATTAGGCGGACATATGAGAGGTCACCGTGATGAAATTAATAAAATTACGTCTCATGAAAAGACGATGATTCCAATTTTGAAGAAGTCGAATAGCAGCAAGAGGATTAATATTTTTGGGGTTAACTTTAACATAAAACCTGATGATGATTTGAAGCTATGGCCGATGGAAGAGGCTCCATCGCCCGTCTTGCGAATATTTATTTAAGTCAGCTTGTAATTCATTTTGATTAGGATTAGGCGAATTAATTAATTATTTGTGGAATTCTTTCCATTCATTTTGTTGTATATATAATCCTTAATTAGTAGTTATTCACTGATTATTTTGTATATGTTGAATCTTAGCTATATATCACCCAGGATTAAGGTATTTACAAATCATGTGTTTGATTTTGTTGTTACCTTGAGAATATTGATTATTGGTATAATAAAATCGAACTTACATATAATTCAATCAAATGTGATGCAAATGAAATAACTCAGGTATGGGTATAACATACTCCCTCTGTTTCTCTTTACATATCGTCCTTATTAAAAATAAATGTTTTTTTAATACACCCTCTCCAATAATAATTAACTACACTATTTTGAAATGTCCAACAATACTTATTCACTTTATGAAATCAATGGATAATTTTATACTTAATTCCTAATTTACCCTTATCATTAATTATAGTCATTTCTTTATTACTTTTTCAATTTATTGTAATTATTATATTCAAAGGGTGATATGGTAAAATTGTCATTCGATAATTTCTTAATTAAGAAGTGTGCAAAGTCAATAGCAAACAAGTATTGTTGGACAAAGGGAGAATTTTTCATTTCATAATATCAACCTTGAATGTATACATTTGACCAACATAGAAAAACTAAGTAAATTATCAATGTTCATTGGTCAAATTAGTTAATCAAAGTAAATTAATTCATGTTCATTTATTGAAAATATGAATTCAAGAGAAAATTAAATAAAGGTATAATGATAAATTTATCTACTTTATTAAGGAGCATGAACCTAAAATGGTGACAACTAAATAGAAACGAAGAGAGTAGAAGTTTAATTTTTTCCATTAAGTGGGTCCAGAATGTAACCATGGACATTAATGAAATTACAGAATCATCACACCACATGTTACATTATTTACATTTGGAACGAAAATGTTCATATGTTTTGTACTTCCTCGATCCTTAGTTACTTGTTCACTTTTGAATTGACACACCTATTAAGAAAATAAATTATTGATATAGTGAATTTATCATTTTACCCTTGTTAACTATGAAGTGGATGAATTAAAAACTTAAGATTTTCAAGAAGTTCTACATTTTTCAAAGTAATTAATTGAAAATATAATAGGTAAAATATAAATTGTACTTTCTTAATATGTTAAAATAGAAAAGTAAACATATTTGTAGATAATATATACACAAAATAAGCACACTATAGCTGCACCTAATAAAGTAATAGTATGCCACATAGGAAAAGGAAAAAAAGAAACATATAATATAATCTATACCAAAGAATATTCTAAGTATTCCAACTGCTAATTGAAAATTACACACACTCTCTTAAATTATCTATCATAAATTTTTTGACACGTTCCTTACGAAACATTCAATAGAAAAGCTAGTTTTTGACCATTCTACTATTATTTATGTCTTAATCTTTTGTTAATTTCACTCTGCCCTTAATCTTTTGTATTAGGTAAATAATACATTTTTTATGCTTTAAATGAGCTAATTAAATATTTTCCTCTTAACAGAAGTAATACTTGTTACAACTGAACTTACATTGAATGACAATTAAACTAGATCAATTTTTTTTTAAATAATAAATTTAATTCTTTTAAAAACATACACTAGAAAAAGTTAAATAAATAAATAGAGTAATTAATTATGAGATAAAAAATGATGTTGTTTCAAGCCTATAAGAAACGTTTAATTGTCGTTATCGAGGCTTACATTTGCAAGTGTAAATCTTACGAAAGCTCTTGGAAGTGTTCTAGAAACCTCAACGAACCCAAACTCATGAAACAACTTGGAAGTGTTCTAGAAGAAGCCAACATTAATATATTGGGGAAAATATTCACACATATATATATTTTTCTCCGTTCATCTTTACTTGTCCACTACATACTTAAAATACTTGTTCAATAGTACTTGTCCAGTTTGAATTATTAAAAGATAATTTTATTCTCTTGTGTTTGTTTTACTTCAATAGCTAATACATTTCCCAAAACATAAAATTCAATATATTCAAAGGGTAATATAGTAATATTTCCTCAATTAATTATTATTTCTTTAGAGTTTAGGCGTGTGTCAAGTCAATAGTAAACAACTATTATTGGACAAATGGAATAACTTTTATATACTTTGTTCATTTTTACTTATCTACTATATTGAAAAGAAATATTTATTTTTATTTATTCAGTTTAAAACATGAATTGTGGTGTATAGGTGATATTATTTCACCCTTAACCAGATGTTCGAGCGTCACCTCAAATTAATCATGTAGTGCATGATCCAAATTTAATCGGGATAGAAGGTGAGAGAGTACTTCTTGTTTGTTGACCTAAAATATTGCCATTTCACACTATTGACTAACGCGTCAGCAACACCCAACTGCTTATTTCATATCAATTGGTTCCACTTGTAAACCAACTGTATTTCTTTGACTCACTCACTAACAAATTAACAAAGTCAAACAACATTACTTAATATGTCTCATTTTTCACACACGCAAACCTTGTTTTCCAACCTATTTTTTTTTTATATATATAGGTGAAGCAACACCAGCCAAAGTGTATCATATTCTTAAACTTCTAACTTCAAATCTTTCTTTCAAACTTCTAAATTTGATAATACAATTTGTAAAAATCTTCAATAATATGACATCCATGAAAAGAAGCAGAGAAGACAATATGCAAATTGAAGTAGAGGCCATGGCTAATTGTGCCTTAATGGCGCTTTTGTCTCGTTTCAACAACACTTCTTCATCATTAGATCATCATGAAATCAATGATTTTGAATGCAAGACTTGTAATAAACGGTTTCCGTCTTTCCAAGCCTTAGGCGGTCACCGTGCAAGTCATAATAAACGGTCAAACAGCAACACCCAACTGCTTATTTCATATCAATTGGTTCCACTTGTAAACCAACTGTATTTCTTTGACTCACTCACTAACAAATTAACAAAGTCAAACAACATTACTTAATATGTCTCATTTTTCACACACGCAAACCTTGTTTTCCAACCTATTTTTTTTTTATATATATAGGTGAAGCAACACCAGCCAAAGTGTATCATATTCTTAAACTTCTAACTTCAAATCTTTCTTTCAAACTTCTAAATTTGATAATACAATTTGTAAAAATCTTCAATAATATGACATCCATGAAAAGAAGCAGAGAAGACAATATGCAAATTGAAGTAGAGGCCATGGCTAATTGTGCCTTAATGGCGCTTTTGTCTCGTTTCAACAACACTTCTTCATTATCAGCTCATATTCACATTAATGATTTTGAATGCAAGACTTGTAATAAACGATTTCCGTCTTTTCAAGCCTTAGGAGGTCATCGTGCAAGTCATAATAAACGATCAAGATTATTCGGAGAGTTTCTTGTTCAAACCAACAAAAAGAACAAGATGCATAAATGTTCTATTTGTGGTATGGAGTTTTCTTTGGGTCAAGCTTTAGGTGGACACATGAGGCGTCATCGTGATGAAATTAATAAAACTACAGCTCATGAACAGACGATGATTCCGATTTTGAAGAAGTCAAATAGCATCAAGAGGATTTTTTGTTTGGATTTAAACTTAACCCCTCGTGATGATAATGTTGATTTCAAGTTATGGCCAACAACACCAATTGCATCTCCTGTTTTGCGATGCTTTTTTTAAATCCCCTTCCTTTAGAATTAGGAAATTTGCTACCAATTTGTTAATTCTTTTATGATGATATTTATGTCAAGATAAATTTACGATGAATTCTTTTTATCATCTGTTATTCAAAACTCACTAATTCAAATTTGTGTATAAAAAAAAATTCTAAACAAAGTTTTTTTGTAAAAAAAAGCTGAAGACCATTCGATTTTAATGTGCTTGATATGCCCTATTATTGTCCAAAGATAGGTTTTTAGTTAACCTAAATAAATATGGTATTCATCGCTGTGACAAAATAAATTGGTAAGGCAAACTCTAACTGCACAAAGTTAAATTTAATTTGGTAATGAGATTTTCTTTTTTAAGATCACATATCTGAAACTTACTAATTCATATTTGCACTAAGGCCAAAGAAAAAGACTCCATGTCAAAAGTTTTTTTTTTTTTTTAAAAAAAAGCTCAAACCGAAAGTCTCTAGTTAAGAGTGGACGGCTGGATCTCACTTATTTAGTAAATTGAAATCATGGATGGAGTTAGGTAGGATCGAGGGGTTCATATTCGATATTTCTTTGGTAAAAAAAAATTATGTTGTTTATATATGATTAAAATTATTTTTTATGTATATATATAGTAGATATTTGAACCCCTTTGATTTCTTCAAGTGTTTGTTTTTTCATATTTTGAACAATTTAATGAAAATCTTGACTCCTTCAATGATAGAACTTTTAACTTAAACGTCTAATTTTGTGACATAACTATAAGAAGTAGGTAGATGATAACAAAAAGTTATACTAGGAAAAAGAGCTCAATAAAATCAAACTATAAGAGATTTTCTCTAACAATGTTTTACACAAAACTAAAAGAGATTTCTCTTTAAGAAAACAAAAAAAAAACAGATAGTGAACTAACTACTTGTGTTGCACATATTTGAAGCCGTCAAATTTTTCAAAGAAAGAAGTGGCATCTTGGAAAGTCATGTAGTGCTTGCGATAAGAAGTTGTGTCATTGTTGAGCTGGTTTGGGTTCCAATTCCATGGCGTAAAGAAGGAATTATCGACCTGAAGAAAAGATAAAAAATTTGGAGAACTCCTCAAAGGTGTATAATCGGGATAGAATATGGGTTCAGGTTTAAATATCTCTACATAATACCGCATCACACACTCATGACATTCACAGAATTCCAGCTCTATCCTCAGATTTCTACGATCAATTTACTTTTCTACTGTCTCTACGTATATATATATATATATATATATAATAGAATAGTTATTGACTCCTATCTTTTACCTTTGCTTGGTCACTTTATCTGAGTGTTATAATGTATTTACACTTCCTGAATTTACCTTTAATTGTTTATTATTGGCAATTACAGATTAAAGTTAGTAGTATCAAGTTTGAGGTACCCATGCCATAATAAAAGTTGTACACATAAACAAACAGCTAGGTTACAGGTCCTTGAAAGCTAATGAAGAAGGAAACTGGAAAGGTGTTAGCAACAAATAATACTCAAACCTATCTTTCACACGTTAAAATTTCAAAAGAATGACCAATAAAGAAAGATATTACAAAGCTACCGCCCTCCAACTTTAGCTTTTGAGCTCATATTCTAACCATTTTTATGAACCACAACAAGCTGATTTCTGGGCAGCTTGACCACCTCCAGCTCCTGCTTCTGGTTGATTAATCTTGAGCGTTGACGGCTGCAATGTCAACAATGAGCATACAGTATTTGGAATTTCCAAAAATATTAAGTGTATTCAAGTTATTCACCTCGGCCTTGGAGTCTGTGTCTGCAAGCCTTTGTTTTATATCTCTTGCTATTGAGAAGAAAACTTGCTCCACGTTAAGATTTGTCTTTGCACTCTGCAGGGTATATGTTTAACAGAGTTATATTTAGTACAGGAAGACCTACCAGCATTTCTTTCTAGGCTGTTGAACCATACTTACAGTTTCAAAAAACTTAATTCCATACTCATCTGCAAGTGCTTGACCCTTTGCCGTAGGGACAGCCTACAAAAAAGTTCATATTGGCCAAATATTACACGTGCAGAGGGGAGGAGGAAAAGTTACTGATAAAAAATCAGTCCAAACAAAAATCTACCCTCTTGCTTTCATCCATGTCAGCCTTGTTCCCTACAAGTATTTTGTTGACATTGTCTGAGGCATGCTGCTCAATGTTACGAATCCAGTTCCTAATGTCTGCAGGTAGGATGAAACAATTAGAAACCATACACATGAGTATACTGCACAAATGACAGTAAACAGATAAAAGAGTTATGGAATTATGCAATCGATTCACTTGAATCCTAAAAAGGGTGAGTATTCGCATATGAACTACACCTTGAGTTTATAGGAGAATCAGGATAAAGAACCTTACTGTTAAAGGAGGATTCGTCAGTAACATCATACACCAACAATATACCCATGGCTCCACGATAGTAAGCTGGAGAAATTTGTAATCAGAAAAAGAGAAGCTATCAGTACACAGGCAAACAAAACACAAGGATCTAAGGAGGATAAATTTTTTTCTTTTTAATACGAAAGCAATTTATTCATGAAGATGAGAAACAGGCACAAGGATAACAACTCGTAAACTTTGCAAAAATAATATGATAGAGAATATCAATTAAAACCGGCTCTCTTCATAGGGGGCAAGAGTATAAACGGTCACATGGAAACGCAGGGAAGAAACAAAAGGGGAAGAAAAACATCACAAGACCGAACTTCTCTAAAGAAGATTCAATTAAGAAAACAAAAATGGAATAAACTTCTCGCAGTCATAATGACCAGACTCCTTTATAACCTCTTATGCCAGACTCCTTTATAACAACATTGATGTAACACCATCAGAACTTTTATCAATGAACAACCATGACAACATACCAGTAGTGATGGTCCGAAAACGTTCCTGACCAGCTGTATCCCATATCTGAAGCTTGATTCTTTTTCCATCAAGCTCAATGGTTCGAATTTTAAAATCAATTCTGACAAAATGAAATAGAAGCAAGCATTAAGAAATATTTGTACACAGAAAAACAAGGCACATGATTCTCAAGGGCATTCTGAAGCAATTACCACAGAAGTATAACTAAGAGAGAGAACTCACCCGATAGTTGTGATGAAGCTTGTGGTGAAGGAACCATCAGAGAAACGTAAAAGAAGACAACTCTTACCAACCCCTGCAGTGCAGACATCAAAGAAACAATTGGTTATAAAAAACAATCCACAATCATTCTCTATAAAAGTCATGCAAAGCCATTACATAACCTCCAAGTGCAATGAAGAGGATGCAAAATAAGAAGCTCAGAACTTCCAAGAGAAAAGGTGACTGAAAATAAGTTTGCTGAAAAGGTACAAGGCAAGTTCCAATTCTTAACTAGCTTTAGGGTATACCCTAAAGAAAAGGAAAATAAATACCAAACAGAAGTTTTCATCCTACCTAGTACATAAAAGAAAAAGGTAAAAAGAAACATATGGAAGTGTTCCCGTCTTACCTAAACTTTAGGTGATAAACAGTCATCATGATTACCCCCACCTCACACACCACCACTACAGCACAAAAAATAGAAATGTTGTATGGACCAAGATCAACCAGCCAAGAATCCCAAAAGGAGAATAAAGGAGTTCTCTTGATCATAAGAGGAGAATATCATCTACTCCTACTGAGCACAGACATTACTAGTTATGTACAGAACAAACAGGACACCCAACAGATAAATTTGGCTACAGCATTCTGTCATTCTTCAAAATCATGTTCTACCAATATGAAGATTTAAAACTCATATTTTGTGTTTAATTTGAATGACCATAGAGTCATGGATGCAATAGATAAAGCAACATGGTAATGTCTGATAGTTCTGCAGAAGATATTTGCTGGTAATGCAGATCATTTCTGAGCAGTTGAGGTAATCAGAATTTGGTTAGATACTTACGAAATAACTTTTTTAAGGTAAACGATTGTTAGTGAATAGCTAAAGTACCATCTCCTCAAGCTCAAAGGCCCACATATCAATTAACTTCAGAAACAACCACAAAAGCAAGCATTATTAAAGATTATAGCAACCAACTTAACCTGACAAGTATACACACTGACAGTATAAGCAGAGGATGCCACATTTTCTCCATTAATCAGAGTCACAGTAACTGATGCAAACAAACGCCAATGCTGTTGTTCCTGTTCTTATTATGCAGGCTGCTGACAGCCTAATCCTCCTCAAAGACATTGTTAATCTGTTCATAGTGTTATTTGCATCTATGGTACAAGAGAGACCTAGATAAAGACAAAGGTGATGGAGCAAGATGTAACTAAAAGAAAATTCCTTCGGCTTATCAAATCCAGCAGCTTAGTCAGTCCGTGGACATTTTATAAGATGGCAAAAGCTAAAGAGAGAAGCTCATCCTGAGACTCTTTAAAACATGAATGATCCCAACCATTGCTTGATAATTCTTAATAACAAGCAATGAAGGAAAAACCTACCAAGTAAAATATATCCCTCGCCACGTCCACTAGATTGATAGACCCTGATAAATTGTCAATCGATCAACTACATCTAATTAGTTAATTTCCGTTGAGTCCTCAGTATCTATTCCATTCTATTCAGACAATTCATCATACTGAAATTATATTTAAGCTGGCATGCCTAGCACAACCCATGGCGAAGCCACAGCCAACTGGTGAAACATACTGTACAAACACAGCAAAAACATCTTTTTCCATATATATATATATACATTATTAACTCTTGAATCTCCTTGTAGTCGCACAGGTAAGCCCACACATACAAATTATTTGAATGCACAACCCTCCTGGACTTGGGACCAATTATGCAGCATGACGATTCAGCTGATTTCGACATGTAAAACAACAAATTCTATTCAGCAATAATCTGCTGTAATCACTGTTTCTCCAGTAATTATTCGTGTGGGCTCAAGAATACTGTTAACTCTTAAAATACTGTTATAAATCCCTAGTCATGTCACAGGTACAAATATAACAAACCTACTAGTTAATTAACACCCAAATTCATTACCAAAAATTCTTTTTTTTTTTACAGAAATTCCTAAACCCGCTCATATGCAATAGCTCGCAAACCACACAGAAAATGCAAACATTACTAGGCAATCCCGGTGCAACAAGCTCAACTCAGACTCTTAGGAGTCATTACCGGAAGATCATTTGCAGAAAAATGAACCAAATCTAGAAAAAACATAGACACATCGAAACCAAAATGCATTTTCTAAGAAGAAGCTAGATCACAACATAAGTCAAATCACCGATCCGAGAAATGCAGCCATAGATCCACAAAAAATTAAATTACAAAAAAAAAATGAAAATACAAATTTGTGATCTGTGAAAAGGGATTAGAAATGAAAATGTGTTACAATACTTACCACTATCGCCGATCAAAAGAAGCTTTATGAGATAATCATAGTCTGCTCTAGCCCTTGCCGGTGGTGCGGCCATTGAAGGATCAACAAAAGCTCCTAAAAGTGTTTTCCTTAAATAAATTTGTATATTATGAAAATTATATACACAAGAGCACCCTTCTGGATTCACAAAACTATTCAAATTTATAATGAAGAAAGAAAATCTGTAACGAAAATCAGATCAAAATCTACAGAACGAATCTAATCAATGATTTTTTTCAGAGAGATAAAGGGGTTACCAAATAGGTTCACGATGCGATGAGGGTGGCTAATATGCGCACTTTGTGCTGCGTGCGCCTAGCAAATTGTTTAAGGGCGAGGCATCACGCGCTTTTTTATTAATGTACTCCGTTTCAATTAATTTGTCCAGTTTCGACTTGACTTTTATGTATGATGTATTAAAATGTTTTTTAACACCCCAAAATTCGACGTGAATCATTAGTTTCATCCTTAAACTATTGATAGCCTTGAATATACTTTTTTACTTGATTAATTGAACTTGAATACACTCTTGATCCTACAATATGAGTGAAATACACCTCTAAATTTTCGTCTAGTTTAAGGGGTTTTTCAACATTTCTCTCGGGTTTTTATTAAGAGCATCATGCTACTACAAGAGTTTGAGACCATTTGCTATGTTATGTGGTTGGTCGGGGATGTATATAAGTTTAGTAAATCAAAAGATGAGTATTTTTAAGATTGTTAATAGTTTGGGGGTAAAATTAATAATTTGTGTCAAGTTTAGAAGTGTTTCTAATACTTCTCTCTTAATCATATTGTTAAACAAGGTCATGTAAAACATTGAAATTTTTAAAAAATAGTACGGTTATACTTGTTGAATCAAGTAAAAAGAAAAATGGGACAAACAAATTTCGAAAGATTTTGGTGTGGCGCGTTTTGATTGGATATTGAGAAAGTTAAATAAAACGACAAGGAATGTGTGCGTTGTGTATTAGAGGTGGAAAGTGTTTAATAAAGTAAAAAATGTAGAAAGATATTCGGTACAAGTGTTGTTTTGCCTTTTAATCTACCAGGAATAGTCGGTTCCATCTAATACAAACTAACTTCCACATGATTTGCCTTTTTAACTACTCTTAGTTTTAAATTCGAATATTCTTACTTAAACTATTAATCTTTCTTTTGTTTTATTTTTTAATAATTAACTTATCTACGTAATGAGAATTTAAAAATATAATAATTTGTATGCATGACAGAACAAGAGGTGGACATGTGGCACCAACAAAGGATGCTCAAGGATATTGGATCAGAATTTGGACTCGAGGATGTGTTCGGTGCAAATCGACCTTGATTAAATCTCTAAAGTCACATAATAATCGTCATAAAGAAAGATGAAAAATCGTGATCCTGAAAAGAACTTGTGTTATGATAATATGACAAAAAGGACTAAGACATTAGATATAATCGTAATCATATAATTAATACCTTATTCGCAACAGAGAAATATTAGTTGGGCTCTATTAATGACATTTTCACATGGACAACAACCATTGTTCATAGTACTTTATGTTTTGAGTGAAACTTTCTTATTGGTTTATTATCTATAAAAACTTATAAATAGCATTTATAACACAATTATAAGTGGATCATTCTCTGAACAATACAAAGCAATATACTACTAGTTTTGTGCTTCAAGCCTTCTATATTTCATTAAGTATTTACTTCATAGCATTTACTATTGGAACGATCTCGAATTTGAGATCAACATCACCAGATTCAATGCAAACACTCATCATCGGAAATTTATTGTTTCATATAATTTTATTTATTTACTTATTTATCTTCGTTTTGTTCTTTATAAATATATTTAATTGTTAATAATCAAATGTAACAAGTTATATCAAGACACTTATTTTTAACCTTACTACAAATTCAACTATATCATTCTCCCTATAAACAAAAGTTATGAATGTTCACTTATCGAAAATACAAACGGGGAAAGCTTCTTTCAATCTCTTGTCTCTTCAAAAGATTCTCATTTTTTGTATATACCCAACTAGCTACCATATTTTTATAAAAATTATACACCATTAAAAAAACAAGAAGCTTGGCAACAATATTAAAGACCAAATAAGTTACGTCCTTATTGCTATAAAATTAATTATGATGGTTGCAAACTTGCAATAAATAAAATGAGTTAAAGTAGTTGACTTTTGTATTACGAGTTTTGTGTGAAAAGTCAAAGCTTTTGTCTTGACAAGTTAATTAAGAAATTAATTAACTTGGGTAATTGATGGATCACTAATACAAATTAGATTGGGTGGATCTTGTTAATGTAATTATCTATTGCTCCCTAATGTATTTATTTACACCCTAGTATAACGTACTTTGCGTAGTTGAAAAAGATTTTCTTACAATGTATGCTTAAAAAAAATAAAATTATACTAATAGTGATTGGATTGATTGTTTATTTATTCTAATATATATTATAACATGTATTAGTTATTATATACGTTTTATGCATATATTAGTGATGGATTTAAAATTTTCATTAAGAAATTTAAAATTTTAAGAAGTCAATATAAAAAAAAAGAGTCAAGAAAATACAATAATATTACGAAAAAAATTAAATCGTATTATATAAATTGTAATTGTTTATCGAAGGAATTGAAATCATTCGATACCTTTCGGACATAAACTAAACATGTAAATTAATCATATAAACCGTTCTGAATGAAAACACTTATTTTTACTTAACTCCGCTCTTGACATATATTATATATTTATCGACTATTCTTAATTTAAGCGATTGCGGAAACAAGTGTTTAAATTATTTCCTCAAAAAATAATACGAGTAGTATTAAATAATGGACATATTCAACCAATTGTATGATTCAACGACTGGAAGGGGCAAATTGATGTTTCCAATTATAAAACGACAGATTTTGACAAAACACACTTGTTGTTTTTGACGTTTTCTGGCAAAAGAAGAAACATGTAAAGCTTGTTGCCAGCAAATTCCATGTGGGGTTCATATATCAATAAGTCTCTGCTATTATTGACAAATTAAACTACTCTCTAACAAAGACGAATTCGTATCCAACAGGACTCGAATTTAAGACCTCTAAATTAAAAATGAAATGAGTACTTACTACTCTACCACAATCCTTTAACTATATTCTCTTCTTCTTTCTCCTTCAATTTTAAATCGTGTGTTCATAGTCAATTAGTTTATGGTATTACACAATGACAAATTCAAAATTTTAAGGTAGCAGATATTCAACGACTATAAATGTAATAAGCTATATACCATAAGAGCATACATATTTGAAACTTGACGATTAAAAATAGTTTTACGAGCAAGTTATAACTAATATTATCGTTACAAAAATAAATAATCTAAAATCGTTCTCATGTTGTTTTTATGGTATTTGTAAAATGATAAACAATTTTATCATTATTTATAGAAATCTTACATTTTACGTAACAAACTAGACAAGTATTTAAAGAATCATGAAGTATGTACAAATTGGGTTTCCTTACAGAAGTTGTACACACTTGTCTAAATTGTTTATATATAGTAAAAGAAAAGGGAACTAATCAGTTTAGTACAAACAAGCATATTAACAACAGTAAAATAATAAAATGCATAGTGGTTCGACAAATAGATGACCACAATTTTAAAAAAAAAGCAATATAAAATAAACAAGGGGCATTATATATAAAATGAAACCAGGGAACTGGAATTTAGAACAGAACTTTGTGGTGACAAAGCATGGGATATATAACAAAAAACTTTGATTGGATGACAGCTTTTGTTATATAAGAATTAAAAAGAATACCAATAAAGGTACTCATGGTGAGATTGATAAGATCATTCTTTTAATATTCTTAATCAGAAGTCTCAAGTTTGAGGTCTAACTATGTAAAAAGCCTCATTTGGGAGCGTTCTCCTTTAAATGTGTTTTACAAAACACGAATTCATATTAATCGAAGTCCAATATGAATATAAGAGACACCGAATAAACAATAACTATATAGAAAGAAAGAAAAAGATGTGGAAAGACAAGTTAATGGTTGAAGCATATGCTTAGAAGATCCTCCCTCCACCAACCTTTTTCTATAGTTAAATTAAACCATTCATACCAATCCTTCTCTCTCTCTCTCTCTCTTTGAATATCACTCTTCTTCTTCTTCTTCTTTTTTTCCCCTTAATCCTTCTATCTTCTTTCAAAAATGGAGGATCACAATGATGATGAAGATGTTGATGATCACATATTATTATCATGAAGTGACAATTTCTTTTGGGCAACTACATATCCTTTGGCAAATTTAAGCACCATGCTTAAGATTCAAGACTATTTATTTAATTTAGAGATATATTTGTGTTTTTGTTAAGAGGAATTTTCTTTTCTCCTTTTCTTGAAGTTTTCCAAATATAAATGCACATCATGGAGTTTATGTTATTCAAATACTATTCTCTAAGGTGCAAGTCTTTAATTAGTTATTTTCCTTGGTTTTTATGGATCTTGTTTGATGTATCATTTATAATAGACTTAGTAATAAAAGGAAATTAATGTCTCAAGTCTCAATACTTAAATCTCCAATAATGTTTAGATAGATATATACTGTCTTATATTTTAAAAAAAAAAAAAACTTGTGTCTAATTTTAGTCGTACATGATTAAAGTATATGTGAAAATTATCTTAAATCTCAATCACGTGTGTCTTCTTCAAATTTCAACAATTCAACACTCAAATTCATTTCAAATATAGCCCAAATTTGAAACATAAGTTTCATATAACATTAAGTAAAAACTCCAATTATTAATTCGTCAAAACAACAAATCTAACAAACTCATCTAGCACCATTTAAATTATATGCCTAGATTTCAATTATACATGACCAAAACAGACGTTAAAATTGGCTAAAAATTCAGACATTGCATATGGAAAAAGTTAGTAGTTAATTCTATTTCTATTTTGTATTTCAATTCCCAGCTGCAAGAAAAAGAACTAAAACAGAGAAATGGATAGGTAAACACAAAGCTCAAGTATCATTACTCCACAGAGTCCAATCTTTTAGATATAAAGGAACAAACATTTCATCCATGTCAACATTCTTGAACTCAGACTGTATATTAACACTTTAGCTTCTGGAAATGAAAAAAAAAAACAAAGATCAATTTCATTTCCCTTGAAGAGAGTTTCTGTGCATCCGTACCTAAAGATAGCGGTTACTCATAGTATGTTCGAAATGGCCTTGGCTAGGAAAGCAAGTATATATATTGCAACAGAGTCAGTTTCGGGAGCAAGAGTTTCGTGTCATGGACAGCAAACACTGACCAAGTATGCAACTGATGGAATCTCAATCTCATTGGATCAAATGCACAACAACACAAGAAATGATGCTAAAAGGCAGAGAACATCAAACACTTCGTTTTCCAAATAGTGAAACCACAGTAAACAAAATCCAAATATCTGATGTTGCATGTTTATGCATATTATGGGTTTTGGAGTTTGGACAGCAATGATGACCAACTTGGTAAATGTTAATGCATATTATAGTTAACTCATAATAATGGAGTGGACTAAGATTATTTTGAAAGCACTATGTTGAGGATACTCAAGACTGTTGTACAAATTTTATGTCATCACGATTTAAGTGATGCCCCTACTTTCACGAGGTCTTCAAGTGCCTTGGAGATCTGCTCCTCTGTCAAGCCCTCCAGTTGGATGCCCCTTTCAACTCCGAGGTCTGTTACATATCAGAAGGTCCATGAGTATGTGAAGAATATGAGAGAAAGAAGGGGGAATAAACATCTCTTAGGATAACTTTATAGCAATTCTAAGGTGAGAATATGAGATTAAGAAATGGGAATAGACATCACTTTGCATAACTAAGCAATTCGAAGATGAAAAAATGTTTGTCTTAGAAAAGTCGAAACCTAAACTTCATCAACTTTGTCAAATATTTGAAATCTAAAGGCCAACAACATAGATAACCCCCTAAAGTTGTCACCTTCTTCTTCTTCTTCTTCGTTTTTTCATTTAGACACCTTAATTATGAAAATTACCTATTAGAAACCTAAGTACATAAAAAATGTAAACTGTTAAGCACCTCAATGATGGTTCCTACCAAAACAAAACATACAACTAATGTGGCAAAACACCAAATTAATGGACGACGCGTAACTATATTCACTTAACATTTCAATTTTTTTGGCACTTTCATCTTCAAACTCCTTACAATCTCCGGCGGTTCGACCAATTCTATCTTACAACTTCTTCACAATTTTTTTCTTTTTCTTCCAAACAAATCTTGTCTTTCTTCAATTTCTTTTTCGTTGTTACGCTTAACCTCAACATAAAAATGTGTTCATAAATATTCATCTACATGTGTAAACAACATAAAAATACATGGACCATTTCGCTTCCTTTTTTTAAAAAAGTGCAGATAAATGTGATTAATTGTTGTGATATAATCAATTTAAGAAGAGGAAATAACCTACGTCACTGCAAATGGGTTATTTGTGTCTATAATGGGGCACCATTAGAATTTAGAGCATGTGTATGTACAACAACACATACCCACTATAATCCCACTGGTGTAGTATGAGGAGGTTGTAATGTACGTAGTATCAACCTTTGTGGGGTAGAGAGGCTGTTTCTGAAGGGGTTGTCTATGTATTTGGCCAACTCTAAACTTCATCAGCTTTGCCTTTGAAGAACTACAATTTAAAATTTTAATGTATCAGTATTACTAAAAGGATAAAAGATTAATGGCTAACACCTAAAAGACCAAACCACTGGCGAATTTTTATCTACTATACTCAAAATTTTGATCATTACCACTACTTTCTCCTTTCTTTCTTTCTCTTGCACAAAGACCATCACTTCACCACCAAACACCGACATTATGAAACCCAACTGAAATGTTTTCCAAACTTTAGCTATGAATATGCCGCTTTTTCCAAGAAAAAAGTCTTCAAATTGGTGACTGTGTCTGCAAATTTGACTTAGCCTGAGAAAAATTTGCTTCATCTTCTTCCCCTAAAGAAAATAGGTTGTGACTTTGCTTGGGACTTTTTGAGGAGAGAATGCGTATCAGCACGTGTATACAACCAAGACAAATTCTGGTTGTGACATTTCAAGGGATACTAATTCCACTTCAAACAAGAATAGAGAGGTAATAGATGGTTTGTAAAGTTTGCGTGCGTAAATGATTTTTCCATACAAGTTTAGGGGGAAACTTATGTATTTTCGATTAAACTTCTCATGTGGGGAATTTAACATCAATATCCTAACCAGATCATATGTTAAGACTGTTAGCCAAGTACAAATCCACATACAAGTTATGAGCTTTAAGTAAAACAGCAACTTACTGAGATGTAAAAATGCATAAAATAGGACAATTTTTCCTCATAATTGAACGAAAGCAAAAAATGTCTAATACCAATCATATACAATGAATCAAAGACTCATTTTTTTAAAAACAAGAACTTAAAAACCTGCTTCAATTACCCCATTCAAGGCCTAAATACGAAAAAAATGAAAAACATTAACAAAGTAAATCTTACTCCCTCCGTTTCAATTCGAAAACTATAATTCCAATTTTGGTACATTCTAGGCAACTTTAATCTAAGACCAGACAAATAAATTGAAGTCTGAAGCTAAAAAATAAAACGGAGGAGAATTACCATATCTGGCCCAAAGCTGGGGCTGGATGGAAGTAGCCTCACGAATCAAAATAGGCAATTTGGGGTTATGAGTCTTGAGATCTGTGTAATTCTTCTCAATAAACGACCTGTTGAATATCAAACAAATTAGATAAAAAAAATGTTGTGAAATAGGAAAAACAATAGAGAAATTAAGCAGAAACCTAGTTGCAGCGCTTTCAACAGACGACGGAGAAAAAAGAACACGAAGCTCCTTCAGATTACGAGATAGATTTGCTCTCCACGCCATTTTTTCTTCTTAATTTTAAGCTTTCCTTTCAACTATTTTGTATTCTTCTTAAAATGTTAGTTTTGGGCCATTTCAGTTGGACCAATTTATAATGGGCCTTTTTCATTACATAAGGACCATATAACATGACAAACTTTTTTAGAAATGGACCTTCGTCGCTAACTTAATTTTAAGGACAAATTATTTAACTACACTCCTTTACTTACCTTAATATCCATTTATCCCTATTTATTTCAAAAATCCCTTATTTACCTATGTATCCCGTGCACAACGCTATGTATCCCGCTATGTGGAATGTATCAAACCTAATGTATCCTGTGCACAACGCTATGTATCCCGCTATGTGGAATGTATCAAACCTAATGTATCCCGTGCACAACGCTATGTATTCCGCAAACATCATTTTTAAGGGATTTTTGGTAAATAGAAAACTAGAAGGGATAGGATGTTATTTAGTACTTATAATATGTGGTTCCTATAATTTATACTAATTTTAATGTATACATAAATTAGTTTTGCTTATGGGACGAAAGTTTGGAATATTGAGCACGTTTGTTGCACTAATTTGAATTTACAACTTATGCTTGACAGACAATAGAGGTCATTTTATAAGTTTTGTCAATCGATGGGTAGACACAAAATCCAAGACCATAAGATGTAAGTCATTTTTGTAAATCACTCGAAAATTTCCCTGTCAAATCATAGCAATTTGTAGCTATGGTCGGTGTATACTCATTGTATGTAAGTGTGTATAAAAACGCACAGATTATACACACATTATAACGCATAATGCAGATTTTTAGTCATCCTAATTTACTGATTTTCATACTTAAGCCCAAAAACACCAAAAAAGGAAACTCTGCTACACCTAATCCACATTTGTAACACGAAAATTAGTTTTGTAATCTACAACAAATGCACTTGAAAAAGTGTGGAATGGTTATAATACCTAATCCATATGATCATTCATCAACTCCCTTTATCCTAATCATACTTAAAGTGTTCAAATCTCCTCCATTTTTATTTTTCTTGCATATATATATAGATCATAATCAATTCATTGTTTTCATCAAATTCAAAAGAATCATTTTTGAAGCATCAAACCCCAAAAACATCTCTCTTCCATATCATTAATCTTTTTACACCAAATGACAACCTCCAATTCCAACCCTTTTCAACTCAAATCCATATTCATATTCCTTGTCATTCTAGCTCTCACAATCACCTCCACCGCCTCAGCACGTAGAATCCTCGATGAGGAGCCCATCGTTGTACCAGACACTCCTGATGATACTGACGAGAGTACCCCAGCTTCAGGAATATCTACAGGTACTAGTGTCACAGGTGCTGGTATTCCAGCACCAGCAGGTGTTGCAGCACCTGCAGTACATGCAGGTGTTGCAGCACCTGCAGTACATGCAGGTGCTGACGACCATCCTGCTACAGCTGGTGCAGCACCAGTTGTAGCAGGTGAAGATGATCATATCTTTTCATTCTTCATGCACGACATTCTAGGAGGATCAAATCCATCAGCAATAGCGGTAACGGGTATAGCAACCAACCCATCACTAAGCGGACAAGTCCCATTCGCTAAGCCAAACGGTGCAGTTCTAGCAGTAGACAACGGTGTTCCTGTCAACAACGGAAACAGCGGAATCATCAGCAACAACAACATTCCTTTTCTCACCGGCCTAAGTGGGACAACTCCCAACGTTGTTCAAAACAATGGCAACAACATCATCGGTGGAGGAAACGGATACCCTGCCTTAAACATGGCTCAATTAGGATCAGGAGTAACATTCCAAAAACTCATGTTTGGTACACTGACTGTATTTGACGATGAATTAACAGAAGGTCATGAACTCAACTCAGGGTTAGTTGGAAAATCTCAAGGATTTTACATTTCTAGTTCAGAAGATGGAAGTAGTCAAACAATGGCATTTACAGTAATGTTTCATAGTGGAAGTTATAGTGATAGTTTGAGTTTCTTTGGGGTTCACAGAGTTAGAGTTTCAGAATCACATCTTGCTATTATGGGTGGAACTGGAAAGTATGTAAATGCTAAGGGATTTGCTACAGTCAAAACATTTCCAGCTGCAAATCAAGAGACAGATGGTGTGGAGACTTTGTTACATATTACTGTTTATCTTGCTTATTAATTTGTTTCTAATAATTTATTGCTTTTGTATTAATTGTTGTGTTTTGCTTACATGTATTATTGAAGTTTATTTAAGTATGAATTTTGTTATTGAGCAAGCGTGTATTGGTGATCGCATTGACGGAGCGTAGCTAGTGTCTATGTTATGGTTTCGATGAAAAATTGGTAATTTTAATTCAAAATTTTGTATCTAGACTCAATAACGTAAAAAAATTATAATCCCAAATACATAAGATTCGAATTCTGACTCCATTCGGATGTGCTAAACCAAAACCACCAAATTACTAGCTTCTACAATTTTTTGAGTCCAATATCAACTTGTCTTACAAAAGACATGTTTTTGTACGGATTCTCTTTATTGTTTTAGGGTGATGTTTAATTTTTATCCCTCAAATTAGTGGGGTTTTGGTTTTTTTTTTTTTCTTGTTTCTCATCTAGTGAAGAATTGTCCGTCAAAGTACTCTTAATTATGACATAATTTTACAAGGCAAAAAGGTTTAAGAATTCTTATCCGACATAAGTTGTGTAGTATCTAAATCATAAGGCATAAGTTTAGAAAACTTTGTCTTGTCCCGTATAAGTTTAGGAAGACATAACTTTGTGGATTGTGAAACTCAACTTATGTCTTGCAAGGCATAACTATTTGTGGGTAATGAACTTCTTAAGACGTATTATTTTAAAACCGAACTTATGTCTTATAAGGCATAACTTGTATTTTACGATTTTTTTTCTATGTCAACGGTATTTTTGAGGTCTTTGTTATTCATAAATATTGCCCAAAACGCCAAAACAATTATGGAAACTTATGTAAATGTACTCTTCGTCATCTATATTTTTATTAAATATAGACGAAGTACGTGTATATATATATATATATTGTATATTAGATATATAACTTAAATGCTTGAAATGTAATTATAATGTGATAAAAGATATATTTTGATTAAAAAGAATATTGAACCGAAATTTGTATTTAATGTAGAGTTTAGTATTAAGCCTTTTTTCAACTATAAGTCTGACCTCTGCTATTGTTTTTTTTTTTTTTGCTTTATAATTCTCTCTTTTTGATTGGTTTTCTTAGTTACTGCAACGTAAAAGTGTGAAAATGGTGGAAATAGAAATTTGGTATGAAAATGAAATATAAGAGAACGAAATTGGAGAATTTGGTATGAAAGTCAAAGAATAGCAATGTCGGAGAATTTGGTATGAAAATTAAAGCTTAAGAGAGGTAATAGAGAGTTTGATTGTGTTATTCCAAGTAACAATCAAACCTTTTTCAAGTCTTCGTGTTCGTTCACTATTATTTAAAAATTAAGATAATTGCAATGTCATTTTTACATATTGTTCACTACAATGTTTTAATGGCGGTTTAAAAAAAACACTACAATCTTATTATAACGGTTTTCAAAAATCGTAATATTCATTAGTAAATGCGATCTTTTTAATTGTATAAAGTGGTGGTTTAAAACCGCTATAATATAACTCATACCTTCATATTTGAACTTTTGTCTAATTTTACACATATATGTGATTTCTTGAAAGTTGTAGAAGTGATTAATCTCAAAATAAAAAGAGTATGATACGAAATTAATTAGTTAGGGGTACGTGGTGCTTAAGCAGGAGAAACAGTAGGCCATAAGGGAACGGTTGGGAAGTTCTTGGTGGAGTTAGAGTTCAATATTCTCTTATTTATTAGGATTAGGAAATAAAATAAAATAAAGGTAGGTCAAGTTATATATTTGATTGGTCAGTTAAATATATAAAAATGTATATATTATTTATATTAAAAAATTATTGTTTATGTATATCATATACTATACTAATATATAAAAACATAAATTTGTTACTATCGATTTTTTAGCTTATGTATTGTCAATTTGTAATCACTAGAGTGCAATTCTACTTCAAAAAACTCAGGTGTTTGGTATGTTAAATCTCTGGAATCTTCTACCTTCTTCTCAGTATTTATAGGTTACATTATTAGGCTAACATAATTTAAACTAGTTATTAGGTTCCCGCGCCAGCGCGGGCCCAATGTATATTACTTCCTCCGTCTCATTTTATGTGAGGTCGTTTGACTCGGCACAGAGTTTAAGAAAGAAAGGAAGACTTTTAAA